CCGCGCCTGGCCCCTTTGGCTTTTTTAATGTGTTGTAAAACAAATTTTTTGATAGCTACTTCAGATATAATTACAAACATTTTCCATTTTTTAAAAACCTCAATATTCTTTTATCTGAGGCATAAAGACAATTTTAGTGTTAATAACACTGAAGTAGAATCACAAAAGACCAAAGAAAACTCTGTTCTCAACATGTATGTGGCCTGATATTTTATTTCAATCTCAATAAACTGTGATTTACTCTCATCATATCTGAGTTTCAAAAAAACTTCTTTCAAATTATTCACTTAAAAATTTTAACATGATCCTGGTGTTAGTCTAGGTAGAAATTTCAGTTCTCTTATTGAAATGCAACCTATTTTGAAGCAATGTCTTCCAAGTATGAAATCTTTGCTAATTTAACAGCATGTCAATTTCAAATGTAACGTATATACTGTTTAAAACTCTCGCCAGGTGTTGCATAGGCCACTCTGTGATCTGTATAGTTTCAAGAGACACACCCAGGGGACAGGTTTGTCCTCCAACATCGTGCCTGCTTTGGAGAGAACTGCTCAGGAATGATTTAAAGCCTGGAGAAGCCTCTGGCCTTTTGTCTGTTTGTCTTAATAAAGTTTATTTCAACATAACTATGGGTACAAATACTTATACTGGTTAATATAATGCAATTTAGTTTAACTTACCTTAAGAAATTTGGATAAAAACTTTACGCATGGTTTATATCAAAACCAAAAAAAAACACAGGATTTGCTTTCTAATTTTTCATCTATTATAAATTTTTTAATGCTGCTACAGCAGGCAGTGAGAACCATATAAAATTCACCTTTCATTTATTTCTGAAGGGGAAAAAACCATGTACTGACTATAAATGTTTTAAGATTGGTACACTAAAACTTTTTATAATGTTTCAGTACCAGCCTGTCAAGTTAAGTAATTATCTTTCAGCTTCAGGGGCTGGAGGGATATATCCCAGGTAAAAACCTACTATGGCCATGTAGATCAACACACTGCAGCCAGATTTCAGGTTTGCGTGGCCATTAGCTGTCTCAAGCAATCAGTAAACCCGAGTAACACCATCAGTACAACTAACATGCTAGCTAACAGTTTTCTTGCTCTTCTTACATACAGAAAACCAATATTTATTTCTAGTTTCACTCCAGAGCTAGTTAGTAACTCTATAGCAAGGTATACCTTCTGCATTTATTGCAAATGAGGGTAACTGGCAAGGGTTCTACTGGAAGTCCATGGATGAGCACTGAAAGGCAATACAATTCCCAAATAAGCTCAAAGACAACGAACTCCTGAAATACAATAAATGGAGCATCCACCCAGACTTTTAAGTGGGATTATGAAAGACAACCCATAAGAAGCAGCTCTGAGGAGAGAGGAAGAATTACTTAAAAACTCTGTGAAACATAAACATGAATGATAGTTCAAAGTGGAAAGACATTCCGATACAAAGAGGTTCTTTATGCTAAAGTCCTATAAAAGGACAACATGTTTGACATTAATACCCCAAACTACTTAATCAAGATAAATACAAACAGTCAGAAAATGAATCAGTCATGTGCAAAATCTAGGAAGTTACTAACAGTTTTTAAAAATCTGGCAAAATTGAAAAAGGCCTGTTTGAGAATGTAGTATGTAACCCTGCCACCTGGTAACAGAACAGTCAACCATTATGAACCACGTACGGCACAGTAAAGTCTTCAAATAATTGTTTTTAAAACTGCTTCTTACCCATCACTTTCAGCAATGTAGACGACAGGCACCCTGTTTTCCCCTTCTATGCCCAATTCTTGTTGTAAAGTTTCCAGATTCCGCTCAAAGGTGTCTACACTGCCAATGTTAAACCAGACGTATTGCTATAAAAACAGAAAAACAAATACCCTAAGAATGAAGTGGAAATAAAAGGTTTAATTCACTAAAGGGTTTGACTTTTTAAGAATTCTTCAGAAATACTGAAAATTTACAAATCAAAAAACAATAATAAAAGACTGGTTTTGATAATGCAGTGATAAAATTTCACTCAGTGAAAACACTTGGCAATCTTTGGCAAATAAGCATTTCTTTAGCAATATTCTTCAGTGGCTCTAAAATTATAAATTCAAACAGAATGAAAAATCTATTTGAAAGATAATCCTTCGTATAAATAAATATGCATTTTTTTCCTCTTCTCCATTTCCCAGGTATTTCTCAGCTGCCTATTCCCAAACTAAAAACTAATGTGATACAGTAACAACAGCTAAAGTTTACTGAGCATTTACTAAGAGCCAGGCATGTCTTAAGCACTGTATATACGTGAACCCATTCGATCTTGAGGACCATCCTAGGAAGCAGGTACCACGGCCAGGAACGATGTTCAGGATCTGAACAACTGCACTGCCTTTTCATTCACTGGAGCCGGGCAGTTCCTGAGGACCCTAGGGAGGGACACCTGAGGGGCTATTTCACCAACCAGTAGAGAAGGATTCCACACTGTACTAGCAAGCCCCGATTCTCACTGTCCCCATCTCACAGATGAGAACACTTGCCCAGTTATACACACAGTAAGAGGCTGGCATGTGAACACACACACGGTGGCTCCAGAGCCGGTGTGCTAACCACAGTGTCATACTGCCTCTCTCTGCACAGCCATGAAGACACTAACAATAACAGCTCAAAGTTATGGAGTTTTGCTAGTTACAAGACCCTGTTCCAAGCACTTACCACGTATGAGCCCCATTTTATACCACGAAAAGATTTTGTTTCTCCTTTAACCTGCAATCATCTTTAGAAAGTTTCATTTTTTTTTATCAAAACAATAAGTCTGCAACATAAAACTCGTAAGAGAGCAACATGTCATCCCATATTCCTCCCACCAGCCAGTGTTACTGAGTGAGGAACATCACTCTGATATTTCTCTCCACATATCTAAAAATAAAAGATGAAGAATAACTTTATATTATATAACGATGCAATAGTTCTTGCTAAACTGTTCACTGACAAAGATAC